AGGCATCGTAACCACACCATGGACCGTGGCCCATGGGTACGCGTGCGCAGGTAAACAAATCGCAGGTGAAAAAAAACACCGTGGGGAGGGCGGCGGACATAGGATTGAGCGGCAGGAACGTAAGATCGCGTGTAAGACATCTTACGGCCCCACAGTCAGGGGCGGGCCCAGCGGGTAGTCCAGGTAGGCCTGGGACTACCCTGGAATTTGGCCCAAAATGTTTTTAGTACTCTGCGCAGCCCACGAGAATTTGGCCCATTCGTCATCTCTCCCAATCTACGCATTCTCGACCGTGAGCCCGCAGTCGGCTCGGCGTCTCCCTTCCCTCCCGACGCGTGCGCGACGAGACGACCGTCTTCCTTCCGGTTCCCGACCCCCAGCCGCCCCAGGCCCCCTCCGGCCCACCCCAGCCGTCGGCGGTCGCCGTCCTCCCCCGCAGCCGCGCCTAGCCTACGGCCGCCCGGCTCCAGTCGGCAGCCCCACCCCACCCCCGACGGGCCGGGCAACGGGGCCAGCCGCCACTCCGCCATATCTCGACGCGCGGCGCGCCAACGCCGGCCAGCAGCTGGCCGAGCTGGCCTGCGCAGTAGCCGTCCGCCCATCCTCTGGTGGCCTCTGTTTGGCCTGGACGCCGACGCATGGTGAGTTTCTCCATTGCAGCACTGCTTTCTCCCCTCCCCCATTGTTTTATGCAGTTAAGCCTTAGGGTTTGGATATTGGAGATTTGAGATTGAACTGTAAAGGCTTAGGAATTGTGGATCTATCATATGTGAGTCTAGAATTGAATCAAATTTGTTATCATTTTTTAGGAAGTTGAGGTATGAAGAAATCAAACACACATGCTATGGTTCTAACTTTAGAGTCATTTGAATTAGTTTTCAATGCAATGAGAAAGCGCAAAGCAAAAGCCTTGAACTAGAACTACTATTGTAGTCTCTTATTTATGTAAGGCCTTATCTTATCTATGTATGATTTATTTGTGCAAGTTTTGAACCTATTTATGTAAGTTTTGAACTTTTTAAATGTATTATCGTAATTTGGTTAATCTATAGCCATTTTACTGAAGTTTTTCTTTGGATTTTATCGTATTGCACATGATTTTTTTTTACTAGGACTATCCTGATTCAAAATCCTAGGCCCGCCACTGCCCACAGTAAGATTAATTAGTACCATTAGATTTAAAGACCCAAGTCATCAAATGGTTCTCAGGTAAGATGGGTAACAAACTTTTGAGTAACAAGTATTTCTCAATTCCTTCGCTCTTTTATAGTACAGACAGTCTTGGATCGCGCCTGAACCTGTTAATTGGGCTGTATACAGTATACTCTGTCAGCATGGAGCCCATGTAGAAGGTGAAAAACCTCTGTGCGTCTATTTCTGTGGGCGTCGTTTCAGTTTCTCCATCCGATCATACTCGTAGCTTGCGCGGGACGGCCGACGGCACATCGCCACATCGGCATCACACTGTTGGACGGCGGACGCTGCTGTGTTGCACTGGTGCCTACTGTTCTGCTGCTGTTGTCAAGTTCAAGCGTTTCAGCGATGGAAAATTCTGATGCAGCAACAACACAGAGGGAAAAAGGAAAAGGTAAGTTAAATTGATTCAATCTATGACATCGAGTTCTCCATTAGTGATCGCGGAGCTATAAAGGATCAACTACAGATCTTTATCCATCATGTTAGGAGACTTCCTGATTTTAGTGGTTGCACTGATCTTGGAAGTTTAGCAATGAAGCTGGTGGAAATTGAAATACATATGATATGTTTTCGTTGGTTTATCGCCTTATTGATGAGCTAGCTTTGCTCCTTCCAGTGGCAACGTCATCAGTCGAAAGAGTCATCTCAGTTATAAATATTATTAAGACCAATTTGCGTGATGATTGGCTCAATGATTTGATGATATCGTACACCGAGCATGAGATATTTAATGGACTTGATGATGAAGTGATTATGAAGTGGTTTCAAGCCATCAAAAGACGGAGAATGAATTTGCCACGTCCTCCACGACTATAGATGGCCATTCGGGCCGCCCGACCCGGCACGGCACGGGCCTGTGCTCGGCCCGGTCCGATGGTCACGGGCCGACACGGCCTGTCACATTACAAGAAATGTGTGGTTTTTTGACGTATTTAGCATGACAACATGTCATAATGTCATTATATCATCCGGTTTATGACATTCTGTTTTAGGCGCTTCGACTTAGTGACAATAAAAAGTTGTATGTCATAAAAAATGTCATATAGCTAGTCCAATTCCATCTAGTGACAATATTTGCTACGTCATAGAGGCATTTTCTACGTCACAAAGTCTAATTTATAAATGGCATCAACCTATGACAAAGTTTGTGTGTCAAAAAGTAATTTATTAATTTTTTTAAACATTGTTGTCCATGTTGGCATGTTTCACAGCCATGTGATTAGGTAGGTACATATTCTTTTTTATTTTAATTGTTTTATTCAACATATTTTAGTCCACTGTTGTCTATATTTCACGGCCGACATAATTAAATGTGGCGCTTTATTTTATATACGCCTAATCACCACAATAGAAAAAATAAGCAAAATGACACATATTATCTTGGAGAAAAAAATAAAATACATTTCAAAAATTTATGAGCAAGGGTGCTCAAACCTAGGATCAGACAAAATAAAAGCAAGAGTCTTACCATTGGGCTACAAAGAAGTTTCAATTATCTTTTGCAGTTCATTCTATATTATAGTTTGTATAGAAGCGAATTGACTTAGGCTCTGGAGCACAAGCGCCGAAAACTGACTGCGGCCATACACGCATACGAATAAAACTGAAACATGTGGTTATGTTTTTATATAAAAAAAGCAAAAATTAAGCCAAAATGGAATTAAAAAATGCCTCTCCTGAGCCCAAAATTTTCTCTTGTGCAGAAATTAGAAGACCTCCTCTCTTTCTCTTGGGCCTAAACCACCCTCCTCTCTTCTTTTTGCAAGGCCAGCTCGGCCCCTGAGTGGCCAACCCAACGCCCTTCCCTTCCGACCCGTCGACCACCTCTGGCCCAGGCTCGTCCCTTTCTCCAGCCCAACTTTTTTTAGCAACTCCACAAGCCCAGCTCATCCCCCTCCTGGCTCTTCTCGCCAAAGTGGCCCAGCCAGTCTCCCGGTTGGCCTCACTCCCTCCCTCCCTCAGGCCCGTTCAGAAGACAAAAAAATTATCAAAACAAGTGTGGCATTGAAGGTTTTAACCTGCGACCACTTGGGTTGGAGGACACAGCTTCACCACACGGCTTCACTTGACCATGTTTCGATCTATCCAAAAATAAATAAATATCTACGTTTATATATTTATATTATTTAAAAAGCATAGATTATTTTATATTGGTTCGTCACTCTCTTATATGTTTATATGAGTTAGAGTAGCACGTCTAACTAGCCATGTGCAGTGCGAAGTATATAATCCGAAAATGAGTTTTAAAACTTACCACTGCAGCTGCTAGGTCTTCATGTCCAAACTAGTTCCTTTACTCCTTTAGTATATATACACGTACATGTTCCTCACATACGAATAGGGCAGAGTTCAGTCATGTAGAAACAAAGTCACGATGACATCATGAACGTAAACTTTTTTAAAAAAATAAAAAACACCAATACACCGTATATACTAATGCTCGGACCCTACATGTCATTCGGACATGACCTTTTCATATGAGTTTTCAGTAGAAAAATAAATTGCTTAAATACTGGAAAATCAAGAACATGAACACAAACTTTTCTTTTTTTAATCTGTAGTCAAAATTTGTAACAAGTCTTTCTCCCTCGTGCTAACTCCAAATGAGATGATTCTTTTTTCCTAAAATTTTCTAAAATCATGCTCTATCCATTTGTTGTATTCTTACAGCTATTATTTTTGTTAAACTTTCATGTAACTTTGTTTTATCAATTGAAAATTTGAATTTTAAAAAATGACAATTTCAAATAACATTTTGAAGTAGTAAGTGATTTGATCTGAAAAAGTCATGAACATAAAAGTTGTAGAATTGATCAAGATCTACAACTTTTCTTTTAGTCATTTGTTCATCCGACAAAGTGATAGTAACATTGTTCACAAAATTTACATCTCTCTCAAATGACCAAAATAAACGTTGTAGATGTTGATGACTTCTATAACTTTGTTGTTGATGACTTTTTTCAGATGAAATCATTTACTCTTTCAAAATTTTGTTTGAAGTAGTCATATTTTAAAATTCAAATTTTGCATTGTTCAAACAAAGTCAGATGGAGAAATGACAAAAGTAAAAGTTGTAGATCTAGATGAGTTCTAAAACTTTATAGTTAGACAACTTTTCCGTTTGAATTCATTATAGCCTAAAAAACTTTATTGTTGACTGCTTAAAAATCACCTAAAGCATAGGAAATAGCAAATCACATCCAAAATTCTTAAAAATCCTAGGCAACACCTTAATTTTATATATTTGTTTATCAACTTAATTTGGTTGCATTATTTCAATATAACAATATATCTTTCAAGAATTTACACTCATTTCTACCCTAAAGAAAATGAGAAAACATTTAAAAAAACTCGAGCTAAGACAGCTTCAATTTAGCCCAATACTCTTGACCGTGAGATTGGCCCAAAAAATACGCAGGCCCAGCTGAAACCTTCCTCACCGTGAGCCGTTCATATATAGATCCAATGGTTGAGATTTGGAATGCCTCTCACAAACCCTAGTATATAAGTACGTCCAGAGGATTCCTGTCCCTGCGCATCCATCCCCGTCTCCGCTGCCTCTCGACAGATCCCATCCGCCCCCCGAGAGCGCGGACTCCAGCAAGCCTCAAGCGCGAGGTCGCGCCGCCCCGAGTCCCGACCCCGAGCGTCGAGTGTTGTGCTGGGCTGTGGCCTCGCTGTCGCCGAGCCTCAGCTGAGCGTGGCAGCCGCGCCCCGCGTGCGCGTGGTTGCGCAGGCCGCAGGCTGCGCCCCGCCACCAGGCACTCTACGTGCAGTTTGCTGTTGTCGTGGAAGAGGCTGCCATGGCGGCGGGCGGGGATGGCGTGGCTCGGCAGGCGAAGCTCCGCTGGATCGAGGGGAACGTCTGCTTCAAGAAGGTGCCCTCGTCGATGCAGGAGCCACCTTCTCATCCAAAGCCGCCTCCTCGTGCCCTGATGCGTGCGCCCCCATCCACGCCGCCATACATGGTTAAGGTCACGATTCTACCCCCTCCCCTGCCCTTGCTCCGGCTGTTAGCTTTTTGCCAAACTGTGACCCGTGCTATATCCAAAGGATTTCGGGGGTGGTGGTCGCCTGATGTGCAGCCTTGCCGGTCGCTGCTCCCTGCGTCACTGCGGCGTCATGTAGCAGGATCTGGCGGGGCTCTATCTCCCGGAGTGAGCCAGCGAATCTTCTCTGTCCCTTAGCCTATCTCTCTATCCCCTAACACGGTCCACCTTGTAGGTACCGAGATCCGGCGTGGACAAGGGCCACAAGGCCTCCGGCGACTCTCTGCGCGTGCGCGAACCGGACAGTGCTCAAGCGTCCTAGGCAAGTGCCTCCGTTGTCGATGGCAAGCTCTTCAGCAACTGACTGACATCCGTTCGTGTTGTTCAGGTACGAGCAGTCATAACTTTCAACCTCATGCCTTTTTCCTTTGCTGAAATTGGTGCTAAGTGTGATTTATAATTCTTCTGTTGTTCCGGTACAAGTTTCTCCACCTTTTTCTTGCTTGTCGTGGATGCATATATATAATAGAGTATTGTTGTTTCAGCAGATCGATATGATGACAGTAATTTTACTCGATGGAGAGTTTAATTTATGAAATCCAAATTTCATTGTCATGTTCCTCGATGAGACTCCTTTACTATCTATTATCCGGGCCTGCAGGTATTGGAAAGTGCTTTTAATGATTAGATTAGACATAGAAGAGGGCAGCATTTTTGCAGTGAAAATAAAGCAACAAACACTGGCTCTAGTCTGTTGGGCGACTGTATATTTTCCTTTCTGAAAATAAAGCAGCAAACCCTAGGCTTAGACTGTTGGTCGATAGTATGAAATTCTGTTGGGATTGAAGAAAACATTCTGTTAGGACTGCATATAAGATTATGGTAACTAGCTGCTGCTTACTGCTTCAGCAATCTATCTATTCAATTTCTTGAATCAAAGTTCTAAATTTCTGACTGTTTCTATGGCAGGTTCTTTTATGCATGAAGTGCTTGTGCGGCTGTGCCTACATCTACCTTATTTGAGCGGTTGGAAACTGAGTTAGAAAACATTCTGTTAGGACTGCATATAAGATTATGGTAACTAGCTGCTGCTTAAGAAAACATTCTGTTAGGACTGCATATAAGATTATGGTAACTAGCTTTTGCTTACTGCTTCAGCAATCTATTTATTCAATTTCTTGAATCAAAGTTCTAAATTTCTGACTGTTTCTATGGCAGGTTCTTTTATGCATCAAGTGCTTGTGCGGTTGTGCCTACATCTACCTTATTTGAGCGGTTGGAAACTGAGTTAGTGCTTTCTTATTATATGACTTGTGTAATTTTGATGGTGTTTTTTCGTCTGATTTTAGGAAAATCCAGAAAACTTGATTGCGCTGGTCCTTGTGTTGGAAGATATGGAAGATTGCCGCAGGTTGTACAGAAATATAGGTCTTAATAGAATAAGATAATGTTTTTGTAATTTTAGTTTTGATCATTGTTAAAATGCTACTGGATATGTATATTATGTGTATTTGCATTGTTGATTTATTATATTGATCTCGGCCTTTAGTAATGTAAAGTGTGCTGGGCCAACATGTGATTTGTGGGCTGAAAAAAATGTGGGCTGCAAAAAAATGTTTGGGCTGAAAAAAATATATGGGCTCAATTGTGTGGGCTGAAAATTGTATGGGCTGCAATCCTAAAAAATATAAAAAACGAAAATGAATAATGGGTCAGCGAGCAACGGCCCAAAAAATATTTGTGGCCCCTGAGCTATGTGGGCTTTAGCAGGCCAAATCTAATTTTGTGATGTTTTTTTTTTCTGCCATGTCAGTTGCTAGGTGCCAAGGCCTAGAATTTTGTGACAATAAAGCAATATCATAAGCTTGTGACAATAAATATACAAATGTCATATGATCAATTTGTGACGTTGGTTTTTTGATGTTTGAATTTTTGTCAACTTAAAGTCATAAATCTTAAGTTGTGACAATAATTCAATATGTTTTGACATAAATAGAATGTCAAAAAACCACACATGTCTTGTAGTGTCAGGTGCATCGGGCCGTGCCGTGTCAGCCCACGGGCGGCACCAACGGCCCAAGCACGGCCCTAAAGGGGGCAGGCCATGCTAGGTCGGCCCAACGGCCTGCTGGGCCCGACGTGCCTGAGGCGGCCCAGGAGTGAGCTGCTATGCCGCTATGAGCGTGGCCATCGAACGTGAGGAGCCGCATGCGCCACGGGGGAGGCTGCCGCCGCCAGAAATCGGCCGACCGAAAAAGTCGTTAAGCGAGTCGGAGGAAAGCGAGGAGGTAGCGCGGGGTTCTTGTGGCCGAAATCCTTATTCTTGTTGTCTGTCTTGAGCCGTCCCGTCGAGTCTGACAGTGGGTGTGGGAATTAGGAATTAGGGTTTTGTTTTTATACCTAAGTTGAAAGTGGCTGTGAAAGGCCTTAACAGGCCATCTGTAGACATGACAGGCTGAGAGAGTGGCCCAGGCACGGCCCTAGGATTGGGTCGGGCTGGCCCGCCGGGTCCGATGGCCACCGAGCCTTGCCGTGCCTGGGCCGAGCCAAAAGAGCGGGTTGTGGGTGGGCCATCGGGTCTCGGGCCTTATGGCCAAGTATATCCACGACATAATTAGTGTTCAATCTTCAATTGTTCATTCACCATCACTAGAATATGAAATTTGGTTTCATCTTTTAGAGTTTAGAAACATCAATTATAAGATTATGACATGGTTTATGGATATATATAAGTATATCATTATTTTACCATGCTATTATCTTTTATATTCTACACAGTCGCTTCGCGAAAAAACTAGCAGTCCAAAGTTCACCATAGGTCATTTTTTTTTGTCTTGGATCCGGCGCTACTGACCTACAGGAAAAGAAAGAAAAAAACACCACCACCCATAACTAAACTCAATAGCCTGTTGGGCAAAGCAACAGCAGCTAGAGGCGTTTTGTCAACCTAGAAATAGTAATTCACCGTTTCTAAAAATTCTTCATGTAGTGGATGTTCATTTTCATATGTTCGGTCTGAAACACACATAGCAAAGGTGCAAGGTAGATTGATGTTTGGGCGAACAAATGGGACGGCATTCACATGTCCTCTGTATGGATGAAGCCATGAATGCATTATCATTACCGTTAACTAAGAAGTTCTTAATGTTCGAGGAAACACTAATTTCTTACACGTTCTACCAGCTAGAAAATCTGACTAGCTAGAAACAGAGATGTTCACCCTGTTCTGTTGGTGGTATTTGAGGAATAATAAGCCGAAATAAGCACAAGCTGGCTGAAAAGTAGATGAACAGAACAGAGCTGTTTTTTTTACCGAAACTTAATTGTTTTCGGATCGATAAGGGGAATTATTCCTGGATTGATGTTTTCAAAACGAGGAAGTAGGTGCCTATATTCTAGATGTTCGAGGGGGGACGGGGGGGAGGGGTTTGCCAACGTGTTTTAGAAAGATCGAGACTTGCCAGCGGGGCAAGATTCTTAGGCCCCGTTCGGCTGGTTGAAACTTGACTGAAAAACACTGTTCCAGCTGGTTTGTTGTGAGAGAAAAACACTATTTAACTGGTTTGATGAACAGTAACTTAAGAGGGAGATTCAGCCAGCTGGGTGGTAAGTCAAGAGAAATATGAAACAACTTTGGCCTTGTTTAGTTGGCGAATATTTTTGGAAAATGATACCGTAGTACTTTCGTTGTTATTTGACAATTAGTGTTCAATCATAGTCTAATTAGGCTTAAAAGATTTGTCTCGTGAATTTCGTCTAAACTGTGTAATTAGTTTTATTTTTTATTTATATTTAATGCTTCATGCATACGTCGAAAGATTCGATGTGACGAAAAATCTTGAAAATTTTTGCAAAATTTTAGTAACTAAACAAGCACTTTGCCACATCATCTTACTCTCACTACAACGAGTAGAACGTGCCGCTAATCGGAGCACTAGTTCATCCTCCATCCATTCATCATCAGTACTCCCCGCGTTTTCCTAGCTAGGCACATCTATGGCCCCGCCATCACACTTCTACAGCAACAATGGCGCCCCACAGAACGGCGCCTTCCTCCCTGCGGAAACGGGAAATGTGCCGCCACAGCACTCGTGCTTGCTCGACGCAGACGAGTTCCGCCGGCAGGGCCACCAGGTCATCGACTTCATCGCCGACAACTACGGCCGCATGGACAACTACCCCGTGCACCCCAGCGTCAACCCTGGCTTCCTGCGCCACCAGCTCCCCGCGAACGCACCGTCGCGTCCGGAGTCCGACGCGTTCGGTACCGCGCTGCGAGACGTCCGTGACCTGATCCTGCCCGGCATGATGTACTAGCAGAGCGCCCGCCACTTCGCGCACTTCCCCGCGTCCAGCAGCACCGTCGGTGCCCTCGGCGAGGCCCTCACGGCCGGCATCAACGTCGTTCCTTTCACGTGGGCCGCCTCGCCGGCCGCCACGGAGCTGGAGATGGTCGTCGTGGACTGGCTCGGCAAGGCGCTCCACCTGCCCGAGAGCCTGATGTTCTGCGGCGGCGGAGGAGGCACGCTTCTGGGCACCACGTGCGAGGCCATCCTCTGCGCCCTTGTCGCCGCGAGGGACCGGAAGCTCGCGGACATCGGTAGCGGGGAGGATCGGAGACCTCGTCGTGTACTGTTCCGACCAGACACACTTCGCCTTCCGCAAGGCAGCACATATAGCCGGCATCCACCGCGACAACCGCCCGCGAGATCGCCACGTACCGTGACGACATGTTCGTGCTCTCGCCAACCGAACTGCAGGCCGCCATGCAAGCGGACGTGGGCGCCGGGCTGGTCCCGCTCTTCCTGTGCGCGACGGTCGGGACCACTCAGACGACGGCCGTGGACCCTATCCAAGAGCTGTACGCCATCGCGGCGACGCACGGTGTCTGGGTCCACGTGGATGCGGCCTACGCGGGCTCGGCGCTCGTCTGCCCGGAGTTCCGCCACTTGATCGACGGCGCCGATGCCGTGGACTCGTTCAGCATGAATGCTCACAAGTGGCTTCTGGCCAACAACGACTGCTGCGTTCTGTGGGTGAAGAAGCCATCGCTGCTCATCGCAGCGCTCGGCACTGAGCAGGAGTACATCCTCAAAGACGCGGCCGCTGAGGGGCACGACGTCGTGGACTATAAGGATTGGTGTGTGACGCTGACCCGCCGGTTCCGCGCGCTGAAACTGTGGCTCGTGCTCCGCTGCTAAGGCGTCGAGGGCCTGCGCGACCACATCCGCGCCCATGTCGACATGGCTGTGTCGTTCGAGGAGATGGTGAAGGCCGACCCACGCTTCGAAGTGATGTCAACGAGGCAGTTCGCACTCGTGTGTTTCAAGTAGGATTCGAGTCACCATGTTTTATATCCCAACATGTTTTGCAAAGAATATAGATGATTTGGAGCACAAATGGAGGGGCAACAACAACCCTTAAGCCCAAGGATCATGGGTAGACCAATAAGGGCTTATCTCGACATTTTGACATGATTTCAAGCGAGGAACAAAAGGTGGCTTTGGGCATGGTGAAATACTTGATCAAATCAAGTATTTGACTCCCCCATATCGAGCACACAGGGTAGTGACAGCTCATGGACACATGGAGAAGCAAGAGTGGTGAGCATAAGTCAAAGAAATATCTACTACTCTCTCCATCTAGAAAAAAGAACAATTCTACAATAATACCATGTCAATTCATTTTAACTTTGACCAAGTACATGTATCAATATTTATGATATTAAATAATTATTAATATTTTTATAAATATAATCAAAATTTAGATAATTTATTTAAGGACAGAATTAGAATTGCATTTTTTATGGTGGCATTTTATGTTTTCCCTTTCTCCTGTTATGTTAATACAAGAAGGCCGTAACTGTTGGGTCCAAACGCTGGGCTGTAACTTAGGCCTTTAGGACAGCCTGCCCGGCCCATATGGGCACGTTTCCTCTTCTTCGTTCTCCCCTCCCCCAGATCCCAATCGTGCGTGTTGTTCCACACTTCCGCTCCTTAGCTCCGACCTCCACGGGCCCACGGGACCCGACGCCCAGCGGCTTTGCCCCAGTGCGCCATGGCCTTCTCTTCGTCACTGGCGCCCTTCTTCGCACCTTCTGGAACCTTCGGAGCCCATCCCGCCAAGAGGCTCCGGGCCGATGCACCCGGGAGGTTCGTGGCGTCCTCCTCGCCCCCTCCTGACGTCGTGGTGACGCGGGAGCAGGGAAAGAACGCCAGGCTCATCGTCGCACTGGTGAGTCTCCCAATGGGAAATTCGTCCATTGTGCTTTCTTGTGGAAATCAGCTGTTAGAGGTCCGGAGGGGTGGCAGGACGAACGGCTTGGTTTTGGTCAGTTTGGTGGATGACCTTCGGTGAATGTCTGCACAATGACCAAATTGGTGGTTAGTTATACTATTTTCCACATACCATACCATTGGCGCTAGATTTTGACCATACTGATTTCCTGCACGAAGGGCTAGCATGAGAATTGATATTTAGAAGTTTTCAGGACCAAATCACCCCCCCATGGTGCTAATGGGGTGCACTGCTTCTATGGCCATTTGGAACTGTTATCAGGATTCAGGAGTTTATATTAAGTTAGCATTTCCAAATTCCTGTGATTGAAAGGTGGTGCTCTTTCTTGGAAAGTTTTTTTTTCCCTTCGGTTCCATGTGATTCCTTCCCCTTTCATCGGTTTTGTGCGAAGCCTGATTGCCATACTACATTGCTGATTCTGATTAATTTTGGTCTCGAAATTTTCTCGAGATGACTTCAATCATGGTATTTACTCTTTATTAATTGATGATAACAAATCTTGTAGTTTAATAAAAAATTCTCAGAGTAACTTGAGCATGAATCTACTGGGTTTTCTGATAACAGTTAAGTTTGTGGGCTAGCCAAGTAAGATAATAATCTAATATTTCTCAAAATACTTTGGCTGATTGATGCCTTGCATTTACATCGATTTTCTAATTGGATTCTGTAGGAAAAGCATAATATACACTCTCTGGAACTTCCTCTTATTAAGCATGTTGAGGGCCCTGATACAGATAGGCTTTCAGATGTCCTACGTAGTAAGTGTTACAGTTTTTCCTTTTTGTGATCTGAACACCGTTCATCTGCTGAACTTCATTTACAGAGTTACATTCTTTGGATATGCAGCGTTCAACATTTTTGTTTTTTCACATTTGTTTCTTGTTTCATTTTCTCCTGTGGATATTATAGTTGTCCATTTCATATATACTCCTCTTCACACTTGCTGCATATAACTGCAAGGAAAATTCATGATGTAGTCAATGCTATTCTGCACTTACAGATGACAAGTTCGACTGGATTACTATAACCTCTCCTGAGGCAGCTGCAGTGTTCCTTAAGGGATGGAAGTAAGCATCAAGCATATATTGCAGTTATGTGCACAATCTTGTTATACAAGTAGTAATTATGCCTCAACTTACACTTCATTCCTTATAACTTTTCATGCCATAGATTTTTGTTTTTTTGGCTAACAAAATGCATGGTCTATGTTGGTTCTAGAGTTTTTTACAGGCATATAATCCTTGATTTTATATTATTGGTGCATAGCATCACCAGCTGAAACATAATCTAAGGGTGCCATTTTACCACTCAAGTTACACAATGATTCAATGCCAGGGCTGCTGGAAGTCCTAAGGTGCGAGTAGCTGTTGTTGGAGCAGGAACTGCAAGTGTTTTTCATGAAGTATCAGAATCTGGTGATCAATCTCTTGAGGTTGCATTTTCACCTTCCAAAGGTATCTTACCTTGTAGCTTCAAGACTTGGTGCATGTGTATTTTCAAGACTTTATGCTCTTCCATTCATCTTCAATTATTTATCAGTGTTAATCAATCTGTTCCATTTCTTTGTTCATCAGCTTTAGGTAAAGTCTTGGCTTCAGAGCTTCCAAGGAGCAATGAGAATTCATGTAAAGTATTGTATCCTGCATCTGCAAAGGCTGGCCATGAAATTCGTGAGTCATTTTGGTGTTACAATGAGCATTTGTCTCTTTACTGTTGTTTTTTCTGCTTTCACTAAGACCACATGTTTCTCGTATTCAGTTTATCCCTAATGGTATGTTTTCTTGAGGATGTTTTGAATTAATTCTGATTTCTGAACCACGGTCAAATTTTAGGTTTCTAGTTGAACTATTATGGTTATGAACTCTTAACTTGTTTTCTTTCTTTCTTATTTAATGGCTCTAGGCTTCATGATACTAAATTATTTGCAATGCAGAGGATGGGCTATCAGAACGGGGATTTGACGTGACACGACTGAATACATATACAACTGTAGGTTTTGTTTCACTTGCGCAGGTTTTTTTTTACTTTATCACCACATACACAGACAAACTCGTCATCTGCATCTTGTTGTGCTGCTTCCGGTAGTCTGTAGTGCCTGTTTTGAGTACGAGTATTTATATTACTAGCTTTTGCAATATTTATTTCAATTCTATGTTAGACATTGGTCTTCATATGAAAAGTTTTTCAACAGTGTAGGTTAAAATTCCTGTAGTGAGCTCTAGAACTCACTAGTTTTCAACAGTTTAATTATTCCTGTAGGTTAAAATTTTAGTGAGCTCTTGAACACAATGCCACTCTTGATCATCTATTCATTTTCTCGATGCTTAACCTCATGAATCATGTACTTCGAGCCTGACACATGATATTGATATATTCACAGCTTGCCTTTTTTTTTTCCTTTGGTAGTGGCATTTAGTTTTGTAAGTTGATTGTGACATACTTGACCAGAGTAGAGATTTTGCATTGAGAATCAGAAAATATTGACCATCGGTTTCATATTATTTTTGACAGTTTCTGTACAGGAATATTAGTCTTCTGCTAACATAGTAACATATGAAGGTATTATGTGTGTATGCAGGTTCCTGTAGAAGATGTGGAACCACTAACATTAAATCTTGCTATATCAGCTCCAGTTGTCGCGGTAGCTTCTCCTTCTGCACTGAGGTAATTATACACTGACATTTGGATATTCTTTTTTACAAATTGTGTTCATGAATACTGCAAGGTAAAGCTGTTGTGCAATAGATCTGGAGGTATTAGTATGTAAGCATCAAATACTTTTGGTGGAGCATAGTTTCACACTATAAAATAGAATAGATGCAACTGACATTCCTTAATTAAACATTCCTTGGATCGTTTTCCATTTTGCCACTGTTAGTTTTTATGTGTGGTTCCAATGGTTCCATTGTTCAGTTTTTTTTTTTTTTGGTTATCACAGGGTGTGGTTAAATCTTATTTCAAAAGTTGATAACTGGAACAACTCCATCGCTTGCATTGGTGAGACCACTGCATCAGCAGCGAAGAAATTGGGCCTGAAGAGCATATATTATCCAACAACCCCTGGACTTGAAGGGTATGCATACATCACGATGCCCTTTGAGTAACATTATCCAATTGCCATGTCCACGTCACGGATATTGAACATTGCGAACTGGTGTACACACCATATTGTACATCCCTTGACTACTACCTAATCTGCACGCATCTTGTCATTGCACTTCACAGGTGGGTTGACAGCATTCTTGAGGCGCTCAGAGTCCACAGGACATCAAAAGAGGTTCTGCTCTTTCCCTTGCGGTCAGTGAGTACACTTTCGTGTTTTTTCCTTGGTTTCTATCGTCATGGCATTCCCTGTTTCTGCTGTAGGCCCCAAAATGTTGAAAACGGGCGGTCCCTTGTACCGGACGGCGGAGCTGCATCTTGACGTTGGTATAGCCGGCTGTATGTCGAAGAATTCGTCGCTTCTTTGACTACAATCACCCCTGTTGTTGTATTGTCAGTGAAACCGTGTCGTCAGCTGATGTAGATGAAACTACTTGTAATGTGAGGTGTTCAGTGTAGCATTCAACAGGTGCTGAATCGCGGCTCCATGATGTCGTGAGACACAAGTTTTGTTGACCTGTACATGCATAGTACAGTAATTTCTTTTGTCAGAAGAAAATCAGATAAGCATGTGCATGCGGAGGAAAATCAGTCCGTACTGCGTAGGGAGGCGGTATTGTCAATGCATGGCTTTTCCGTTGGCGCAAGTTGTAATTGTTTCCCGGGCCGAAAGGCCCATCTCTGTAGTCTGTACTTGTAACTCACTTCCTGAGGTTGCACCATCCTAATTGCATGACAATTTCATCAGTCCATCCATTTCATGTAGGTTAGCAGTGTCGTCTCCGTTTCCTAAAAAAAAAGAAAGAAGCAGTGCCGTCTCTGTTGCGCTAATTGCGTCTTGTCGTCACGCTAAGGGCGGCCTCGTTCCGTCGTTCGCTGTACTTGTGGGTGTTGACGCAGACGATCGGATTCTTTTGCGGTTTGATCGAGTAACGCTAGGAGATTCAGAATATCGGCGAGGCTATCTGGCTATGGAATCTCCGGCCTGCGCCCTCCACCAAAGATTCCCTGTCGTCTTTGAATTTTAACACATGGTGACCAATCATAGTTCGCAAGAAAACTCTCCGGCATGAAATTGTTAGCCCACACGTTAGTGGCAGTTCGCGACGATAAGAATAGCGATATTTAAGTGTACTTATCATGTTAGATTATTATTTTTCTTTTCTTTTATTTACCCTTGCGGATCCGGCACATATGGGTGTCAGCGTCACGAGTCATCGCTCTACAGTACTCTTTTTTTTGCTAATAATATAAAAAAAGTCTACGGTAGTGCATATTTTTACTGCAGCCGGTAGTAGTTAGCAGTCCCATTGGTTGGAGAAAGTTCCAAGTCCAACAACGGGGCCGATCGCCATCAACGTCCCTGTTGCAGGTTGCAGGTCCAAGCAAACTTACCCTCTGCTATGCGTTGCTAATTAATTACTAATTAACTAGCATACTAATCAGTATAATCACGGCTGGTCAAAAGCTGCCTGACGACGGCGAACGCTTTGCGTAATGCACGGGCGGGCAAGGTCACCGTCGCCGACGCGAACGAGCGGCCGGCGCCGAGGCCGAGCCGAGAGCACCCCCCAGGGCCCCTACCCACCCACACCCACTCTAGAAAACCCCCAGGACTGCGAATATGCGCGCCTCGAAATCTATGGCCGCGTTTAGTTTGCCTCTGAATCGGCGCCGCTGGAATTTCCAGCACTTTAGCTACACGGTAGCGTTTTGTTTTTATTTGGTAATAATTGTTCAATCGTTGACTAATTATGCTCAAAACGTTCGTCTCGCAAAGTACAACCAAACTGTGTAATTAGTTTTTGATTTCGTCAACATTTAGTACTCCATGCACGTACCGTAAGTTTAATGTGACGAAGAATCTTCTTTTTGCATAGTACTAAAGTTAGGAGTTTTGGTGGAACTAAATATGGCCTATGGCGAATTTTGCCATCTCGTCCTTTGTCCTTTCGGGCGGCGATGGGCAGATTATTCCCGCCGACTTTTTGACCTCCATCGGAAAAAAAGCGGGAGAGAGGATTAATAAAGGCTTTTGCAACTTGTTGGTGTTGTTAAAACTGCGAATACGGAGTATTAAGCTACTGGTACCACGTGGAATGCTTAATAATTAATTAATTAAGAATGGTGGTAGATTCTACTAAATTACTAGTAGTGGAAAAGGTAGTACGAGTACTGTGTACTGGGATGCTAGCCTGCTACATAGATTAGCACGGCCTGACCAATGAAAAAAATAAATAAAAAAAATGAAAGAAATACTAGTAGTGTTTTTTTACAAGAGCTAATCAAGCTGGATCGAGAAGAGCGAGGCGACGAGATTCTCTAGACTAGTGATGATCACTCTTCCTGTTGTTGGTGGTTCACACGTCGCGCGTATGGTGGAGACTGCCAGGCCAGCCGCTGCTACCTGACGCTGGTTGGAAATTGGCCAGATCTCAAGGAGTTGGAGTTGGACTGTTGGAGTCGGAGTCGGAGTCGGAGTCGGAGTTGGAGACATCGATCAGCTGCCTGCTTCATGCCTGCCTGCCGTTTCTTCGCGTAGTCCGAAGATACATAGGAGTGTCTTTCTTGCCCGACGACCTACCCGCGGTTGTTGATTGTTGTTGTTGTTGGCAGTTTCTGCACTTGGCAACGAGGACCCTCGGAGTGTGAGAGCAGTAGCTAGCTCAGAACATGAGCTGTTGGCGGAACAAGCAGGCAGCGATGGAATTGAAGCCGATCGAGTCCGGAAAAGCTGGCCCAAGCAGGAGTTGTGTTGTGTCCACTGTCCAGTACGTACAGCACAGCAGGCTACTACACTACCGAGCTGAGTACTCCTAGTACTTGCAGGTGCCGTGTCGCCATGCCAAAACGCTGGAGATGGACGGACAGCCCATCCCAAAGAGTAAGATGACCAACTTTAATGATTGCATGGCTTTCGTAGTAGTAGATACCTATCTTTCTAGCTGTATGTACGTATATGTATACGTGTTGTAGCGTCATCTTCCAATGCAACGTGCACGGTGAGGAACTGAGGGTCCGGGCCGGAGAGCCGGCAGCAGCTACACGTCCAATGTACGGGTACAGTATCCGTTCGTCGTATGCATATGGAGGCTGAGCTGAAACCTATCCATCCCATCTCCAGGGAGAGGGGCCACCGGGCGCAAGCAGCACGACGAGGAAATTAAGGCTTCATTTGGCACATCACAGCTTCATAGTGAAGTAATTTTTTTTTAAAAAAAAAACACGAGCAGCTTGTAGCCGTGCCCCCGGCGACCGTGTCCCTTGTAGCCGTGCCCCCGGCGACCGTGCACGCGCCCTCCCCGAGCAGGGGCAAATCAGGTCTTCGTCCATACTGGGGTCCATAACTCCATATGTGGAAAGATAAAATTATAAAAAGCTAGTACGATTTTCAGCTTTAATTTACCTCACTTCAGCATGTTTTTAGAGGAACTTCGCCCATAAAGCTGTTTGCTAAAAGGATGTTTCGAAAAAAAAAAGCCCAAAAAAGTTCACGAAATTGTTCCCTGATTTGGCTTGGGATCGGATGCCATGCGTGCTAGCTCCCGGTTTATCTTATCGCTACACTCTCGTGCTATACATAACACAACTTGTGTTTGTGTACGTGCGTATTAGGAAGTGCGCGTAGCTACTAGCTAGGTTGACACTTGCTACGTTTATGTATATGGTGCGGTTAGTTGTTGCATAATGCATTGACTAATGACTACTACAAGCAGTACTCTAATACTAGCTAGTGCGTGCTACGATTTAGTGGTATATAACCACTCCATCTTTTCAATCTTATTAAGAGCAGCATGTCACCCAAACTGATGATCCGAAGAGGAAAAGATAGATTATTACAGTAGTTGATGTAACAGAGAGCTACCTTGGCTCTTACTGCCGAGTGCCGACTGCTGGCGTTAGCAGTAGCCTTTGCCTTGCAAACAATCTGTCTAGGCCGCGACGACTTGCTTGTCGCCTGTTGGTACGTGTTGGCAGTAGAACGTGTACGTGTACTGCCTCTTGGTTCTCACTACTACACAAATGAATATGCGCAGCGTTGCACTTTTGCACTCCGTGGCGGGCACCTATTTTTGCCCGTTGCGGTAAATCCCATGATTTACCGCGGCGGTCATTTTTTATTTACCACAGCGGACACTTTTGCCCGTCACGGTAAATCGATTTACCGTGATGTCCGCCACGGTAAATATCCTATTTATCGTGGCGGACAACGTTAAAAGCCCGCCACGGAAAAGGCCTAGGCCCATCAGGGCCAAGCTGGCCCGATATTCGTCTACACGTATATATAGGTATACTTAGGGTTTCGGGGGGCGCAGTCAGCCTCCCCACTCTGTTCCTGTCGCGCGGTCGGCCTCTCTTCCTCCCCACTCTCTTCCTCCTCCCTCTCTTCCTCCCCACACGCTCCAGGTCAGGCCGCCCCGACGGCGGCGATGGAGGCCCCGACGGCGCCCCTTCCTCTCCCTCCTTCGGCCGGCGGTGGCGGCCTCGACGGCGCCCCTTCCTCTCCCTCCTCCGGCCGGCGTGGAGGCCCCGACGCCGGCATGGAGGCCCCGGCGGCGGTGGCGCATCCGGCGCAAGGTGTGGAGCCCTCTTTCTTCTCTCTCAGATCAATGGTGGATCTTGTCCCTCTCACACTCGCACCCTTGCAGATCCCCGACGACGGTGGCGAGCAGCGGCGACGGGTGCTCCTCCGCGCACGGTGGCGAGCAGCGGCGTGGCCCGTCCGGTGCGGATCCACGGCGGGGCGGCGCCAACCCGCCGCAACGGCACGGATCCACGGAGGGGGGGCCCAACCCGCCGTGACGGCACGGATCCACGGAGGGGCGGCCCCAACCCGTCGCGACGTCGCGGATCCACGGCGGGGCGTCGTCTCCCTCCCACCCAATCGACGGCGGCGCAGATCCGGTGGGCGTGGCGCCCACCCCGGCCCTTCCTCTCCCTCCGGCGGTGCGGCGGGTTGGAGCTGCGGTGGATCGACGGCGGCGGCGGGATCTAGGTTCAGTGCGGCCCGGATCCAAGCCCGTGTGGGCTTTTTTTCTTTTTTTTGTTTTTCCTGAACGATTTGCCGTGGCGGACGTTCTTATGTGGCCGCCGCGGTAAATCGATTAACCGCGGCGGGCAAAGCTGTCCGCCGCGGGAAGCCACGATTTACCGTGGCCTTTCGGCGGCGGCGAACCGGTTTGCCCGCCGCGGGAAACCCAAAACGCCCAACACGGATAAATATTCTATAGTAGTGTCTATCTATTAATCTATTAATTAATCATGTGCATTTAGCTGTTGTGGTCACTGGGATTGCGTACAAATATCGCAAAGCCTCCCCAT